TTTAATTAATTAGCCAATTGTATGAAACAATCAACAACAACTGATAATTGCTTGCTATGACGATTTGAAGCATTGAAATTATGAAAAAATCTATGAAAACCAAATTTCATCTTTTTTTTTCCTTCATTACAGTATGAAATTTCCGGTATTTTCATTTGTGTTTTAAATTATTAAAAGTAACTAATATACTAATTGGTTTCACATCATCGGATTTTTATTTCCTAAAATATTTTTAAAAAAAAAGTGCAAAATTTACATTTAATTTTATAAATTTAGAAAGATGAAAGAGGTAAAGCACAAAGGATGTAAAAATAATAAATTCCAGTTGGTTAGTAATCTCAAAAATGATAACTGATAAATTCCAATTGATTGATAATTTCGAAAAATGATAATTACTAATTGGTTGTTGTATTTGTTGCAACATTTCTAACTTTAAAACAGTTTGATAGTTGACAGTCATCGTTTTCATCAAATTAAAATAAATAATTCAATAATCTATTACTTTAATTAATATAATTCATAATTGCTTTAATTTCAACATATTTATTCCGTTCTTTCACAGAGCATTTTTTCTCTCTTTTTTTTCTTCCATTCTCATTCTTTTTTTAACAAAATTATTATTTATGCAAATTTTTTGAAAAAATTTAGCTATTTGTTTACGAGGAAAATTCCATTCAATATATTGAAGCTTATTTAAAATCCTTCCCTTCTTCTTTTTTTTTTTCGCTTGCAATTTTAAAATGCTTATAATTAATTATTTGTAAATGGAAAAAGAGTAAGTGAGAATTTTGATTTAAAATATTTTAAAGCTTTTTTCTTTAAAAAAAAAAAGAAAATAATAGCTCGAAGTGTGATTAAAATGAAGAACAAATGAGAATTTCAAACAATTTGATTAAAAATGCAATTTAGAGTTTGAATAGTTGTCTTGATTGCATTTCAGGCTTGCTCTTACGAGATTAGTTAAAAAAACGAAATAGGATGAAAAAAGAATAGAGAAGACAATGAGAGAAAGAAAATTATTAGACGAAAGAGAACAACAAATAATTTACCCACATATATTTATTTACTTACTTATTTGCTGTTTACACTATCTTTTCACCTGTTCATTTAATCAATACTTTATTTTATTCTCATAAATACTCATTCATGGTAACCTAGACAATATTTCCGGAAACGTACTAGCCGGAAATCAATTGCGTTTCGTTGACTATTCTTTTTTTTTTATCATCCGTTTTTATCACATCCGGTACCATGGAAAAATGTTATACTTGGCTGGAATGATACAAATAAGCCAAGTATTTTTTACATGCAAGAATAATTTATTCAGTAATTTATTTTGTGTATATATTTATTTACTTGTTTATTAACTAATAAATAGTTTACACAGGAATAAATTCATTCCCTGCCTTTTTCAAGTTGATTATTGCTAATTAATGCATTTCCTCTCGTGACAAAGTTGAAAAATAAATGAATAAATGACAAGCACATTACTATTTATGCATTATTTGGGACAAATAAAAAGCATTCGTTATTTATTACTAAAAGAAAAATGCTTATTAATTGAAATAAAAATCAATTTAAAATCAATATTGAAACATATAACAAATTCGCCTTTATTCCTAATTCAAATGATTTCATTTAATTTCTTACCTAATTATCCTTTCTTTTTTTTCCTCTTCTTTTAGGCGAAAATTACCGTAGTATGTTGAAATCAATTATTGTTATCATATCCTCTGATAAAATAAATTTCAATTTGTTTAAAGACACATTTATTATTCATCATTCATCAATGCGCATTTGTCATGTTTAGCATCTGTGTTCAACCATTAAATTAGCCATAATCAATAAAAATTATTTAGAAACATAAATAATAAATTGTTTTTTGGAACATTACTCTAACACAATGATAAATTTAGATATTTATGATAAAGAAAAAAAAACTTTACACACCTATTTTATTTCTTTATTTATTATTTCAAATTTAATTTTAACTTTCTGTTATTATTATATGCAACTATTTGCCAAATTTTAATTTAATTTATATAATGAAAAATTTTGCTAAAAAAGATCGGTAATGAAATTGATAAGAGAACTTCTAAAATTTGGTAATTAATTTTTCTGACAATTACAAATAAATGATTAAATTCGAAATAGAAAAAGTGATAAATAATGGAAGTAAAAGAAATTTTTTTTTTTTGAAAAAATACCGAAAAATAAACATTAATATTTTTATCGTTCGTCTTAAAAAAAAAAAAAAGAAAGAAAAAAGAAAAAGAAAAATTAATAAACATTTATAATTATATTGCCTACCTGTTATAATAATCACTCTTTCATCAAGGTAATGCCTTTAAATAGTGGAATAATTACTTGCAGCATTAATTGCATCATAAAGCGCAATATGTATGATGCATACATTTTCAAATTTTAATCAATAATTTCATATTCCAGCATTATATGCAAAATATTTGTTCACTTAATTTTTTTTAATTGCTATGAAATTAACTGATAACTGATTTGTTTCTTTTTTTTTAATCTCACATATGGTGACTTTTAAATTTTTAAAAAATATAAAATTTCAACAAATTTCTCCAAAAACTGTGGCTATTTCATAATTATTATTTCACACTGAAATATTAAAATTTGCGTATTTCGAGTATAATTTCAAATTAAAATAAGTGGTAACATAGACTGTTTATTTAATTCTAATTTTATCTTTTTTTTATTGCATTTTTCTTCTGTTTTTTTCTTTTTTCTTTTGCAAGAAAATAATGAATGAAGTTATGAAAACGAATTAATTATAATGATATGTTGAAATTTAAAACTGAAAATAATAATGACTCTTTAATCTCTTATTATTGATTCCTTACTCTCTAATCCATCCTCTCCCCTAAACCTAAATCTTTTTCTGTTTCTGTTTCCCATTTTTCTAGTAGTATTTACTCGCTTACTTATAATAATGCTGAAAAACGTTGGAATTAAATAATCAAATTTGACTTTTAATTTTTTTACATTCATTTTTAATTTTATCAAAATTTCATAATAGCTAAATTTGGAAGCACACATTTCCACCAAATATTATTATTTTAAATGAATGACATTTATTGACAAAATTTGTAGAGCTCAAAAGGATTTCATCTTTGAATATTTTAAACGGAAGATATATTCAAAAATATGAATTGTTTAAGTTACATTTAAAGTGCTGTGACAAATTTAATTAGATTTTAAATGATGAAATTGCATATTATTGATTATCGAAATGTCAAGCGACATTTTAAGTTTTAAGCAATGCTAATTTATCACGAAAAATTCTAACATTTTAAATGTCATAAAGTTATCAGAAAGTTATAACACTTTAAATGCTATGCCAAATTTACCTGAAAGTAATTACATTTTAAATGCTATAACAAAATTAATTCTGATATTACTTGAAAAAGTTAAATAATTGCAAATTGCATATTATTGATTATTAAAATGTCTAGTGACACCTCAAGTTTCAACTAATCCTAGCTTATGCTAATAGTGTAATCTATAGAAAACATGAAAAAAAAAGTTAAAGAGTTACAACAAATAGTAAATAGTACAAATAGTATAATTAATTTAATACTCTTCTTCATGTTCAATATTTCAATAAATTGATTTTAAAATTTTGATCTGAAGTTCTTTTGTTTTAATAGTGATTTTTCATTCGGAAATTAGAATTTTGAAATTTCAAAATTGGAAAATGTCCAATGATATTTTAAATTTGAAGTAATAATGTGTGAAAGGTTTGATACAAAATTTTGCAATTTCGTATTTTTCAGGAAAACTTATTAAAATCTCTACAATGGTCTTACATTCACAGATTTTTTTCATATTAGTACATATGACAACTGTAATGTTACTTGCAATTGTTGGCAATTTATTTCTAATTTTCATTATATTTCGTGGAAATGCTGTCATGAAACGACGTATCTCACCTGTTCAGGTAAAACTTTCCATCTTTTTTTATGAATTTAATAATTGTAAAAAAAACGCTAATCCTTTCATCAATACAATTACGTATAGTTACATAAATGCGTATTAGCAGAATTATCTCATCCTTATTTCACGTAATTTTTTCCTTTGTCATGAGATATTAAAACTTTTAACTTACCTATTAATAGAAAGGAAGAAAAAAAAAAGCGAAAAGGGAAGTTGTTGGTTGTTTGTTTGCTAAGCTGCTTGTAAAGTTAAAGTTAAAATTAACAACACATATATTTAGATTTAAATAAAATTTGCCATTGAAATAAAAAAAAGAAATTTATTTATAATTGAAGCATAAAAATTGAAAACAAAAAAAAAATTATGCAAAAATTTAAAAAGTAAAAAAAGAAAAAACTTATTGAAATGTATCATAATGAAATGCAAATATTTTTATTAATAATGAACAAAAATCAATGCAAAATTAATCAATAAAAAAATCTTTTAAATTTTGTTCATCAAAATTAATCAATAAAAAAAAATTCATTTAAATGACTGAATGATTCAGCCTGTAATGGTAAATTTGTATTCACTGTGGATATCTGATGTGAGATTAAATTATCACGATGCAATTATATCAAATTTACCGCTTTCTGGTATAATCGATATTCTCCAATCTAATTTTCTTTTTAATCCATGACCTGAAATTTGATGATGATTTTTATTTAAACGATACGAACAGATGATTAACAGTAGTTATGTTATCCATGTGCAAACGATGTATGCGTAATGATTTTAATATAAAATATGAATGATCTTCACGTGTTTACGTATCTTCACGTGTTTACGTACGCGTACGTCTGTCTGTACATGTAATAGTTTTAATAGAAAATAGAAATATGCAAATTTCTTTTATCAATTAAAAAAAATTTTCGATAAAATAAAATTAATTTAAAAATTTTCCAAACATTGGAATGTAATTCCTTTTAATTTTGTAAAAACAATTGAATAAGAAAAAAAACAACGAAGAAATATTCGAAATACATTAACATATTTATAATATATTATAAATATGATACTTAAAAACTTTAAAATGATAATTTTCTTTCTTTTTTTCTTTCAGCTTTTATTATTGCATACATGTGCAGCAGATTTATTATTTGCATTATTATCATTGGGTACCGAAATACTTATCATCCTACGACATCCTGTATTTGATGGACCAGCCTGGTTATGCCAATTAATTAGATATCTACAAATGTTTCCAATGTATACTAGTTCATTCCTATTAGTTGCTATAAGCTTCGATCGTTTCCAGGTTTCTAAAAACTTTTTTATCCCATATTTAAATTTGTTCAATTTAGATTGATTGTTATGAGACATTTTAAAGTTAGTTTAAATGATTCAAATTTATTATCGCAATGATGAGCACAATCTGTTATTTCTCATGCATCTATATATAGCTTAATATCAGTATTTTATAAGAAAAGTGCTCTTTGATATTTGATCACATCATAATTATTGATTTATGAATTCAAAAATTGAAAAAATCATGGATTGAAAGGAATAAAAATAGCAAAACAATACAATAAAACATAGCTAATTAGCTAATTAATAGCCTTTTGCAACTTTATGAGGGGTTGAATTAAATTTAAAGCTATCTTACAAGGAATTAACGAAATGAAGTTTCCGACATCTGTCTCAAGAAATCAAAAAAAAAAAATCCCAAATAATTAAACAAAAAAATGAATTAAAAAAATAAATAAATAAGTACAGAATGAAATAGAATTAATTTAACATTTAAAAGCTTAGCATAAATTAAAAAATTTCAATTGAAAGGAAAATTAGTCAAATAAATTTTGAGTTAAAATTAAAATCAAAACAATTTCATTTTTTTTTTTTTTTTTTACAGGCTTATTTGTCGTCCATTACAAACTTATTGCAGTAATCGTTATCGTAGACCTAATTATTATGCAATAATTGCATGGATTACTGCTTTATTATGTTCCATACCTCAACTATTTATTTGGCATAAAACGTATGTTTGAACCATTTCATTGTATAATTTTGTTAAAATTACTGTAAAAAAAAAAAAAAAGGTTAAACGCAATTTCTTGGCGATATTTTTGCAAAAAAAAAAAAAAAACAAAATATAAATTCGGGTAGAAAGGAAAAAATGATATAATTTATAATTTTACTATTTAATATTATTTAAAATTAATATGACAAATCATTATGTGATATTATTTATTACTTCAACTTTTATCATTCAATTATTTGGCACTTAATTATTGAAATACACTTATAAATGCAATACAAACTGTAATTATTTATTAATTTTTAATAAATTATTAGATTACTGTAAGAATAATAAGACGAAGTGAAAAGTCTTTACTTATAGTAAATACGATGAATGTGCGACAATTTATGGACATGGTGTGTCATTTTTAAAAAGTATTTATGTGATTAGTTTTAATACAATTGCTTGGTTAATACCATCTATATTAGCAGCATTTTTTTATTATCAAGTATGTAAAACAATCTGGTTATCATATCGTAATCAACAATTATTATCACAAATGTATGATTCATCATTTGTAAATAATGGTTGCGAAAAAAATTTCAGGTAAAATTAAATTTTTTTTTTTTGTATCAAATTTATTATCAATTATTTAATCCTATTCAAATCATATACATTAAATATATGTATATGATTTGATATCATCAAAATTACTGATTTTGATAATATCTAATTTTTACTGATATTATCAAAACAGTATAGATATTATCAAATAGTATCAAAATGAAGATAATATCAGTGAATTCAGACAATATTTTTGATGCTATTATTTCTTTTCTTTAATGTTAGTAGTGATAATAATAATAATAACATATCATAGTATAGAAAAAAAAATTATTAATCAAATATTTAATTTCGTTTTTAATTTGCAATTGCTAAAACAATGTTAGTTAAAATGGGTTAGCTAATAAAGATAAGCATGAATTATTATCAAATAATATTAGAAACGGAATTAAAAGAATTTTACAAATTAAATTTAATAAAATTATGTTTTTTTTTCAGTCAAGAAACGAAATCTTACATTATTAGATTACACAATGACTCACGACATTGTCGTCAACAATTGATGAAATTTAATCGAGAACGAATTCAAACGATTTGTTTAACAATGACAATCATTTTTTGTAATTTTTTCCTATGGGCACCATTTTGTGTGGTCAATGTTTTGCAAGCCATCGTACCTCATTTATTGAGTAATTCCAAATTCTTCGTTTATTTCATTAAAATTAGTTAATTTACAACAATTGCTAATTAAATTATCAAAAAATACAAATGTTAACGAACAAGAAAATGTGCCAAAAATTGGAATGGAATATATTTTCCGGAATTAATATAAAATAATTTCGTACAAATCCATGAATGATTAAATAATAACTAATTAATATTAAAAAGTTTAATAATAGCTTAAATTCTCATCGGTTGAATTGGATCGAATGATAAGTGATAACAAGCAATAATGAGTAGTAATATTAGGAAACATCTCTCATCGTATTTCAACACGTTAAAATTCTGTAATATATGCAATTACGCATAAATTAGTCATAGGTCATTAAAGCATTCCTCAAATGATAATTTTAGCATTAATTTATCATTATCAGTAACAGTCATTATCAGTATAAATGACTGTAGCAAAGAATAATTTCATCTTTCCTGAAATCAATAATTTCAAAATGGAATTGGAATAATTACTCTTACAAAAATTAAATCATTTAACTTTCAGCAATTGTAAAATAGACAATTCAAAATTTTTATAATTATTTAGATTCAACGTCATTCGTGTAAAACGTAATTACACGTGCAACGTTAGACTCTTTACTTAAAATTTAACATTTCTGCATTCGATTTTTCATTGGTGACAGCAAAATTGCGTATTTTTGAATTTTTGAATTGAATTGAATTGAATTGAAAATCGAAAATGATTTTGGTGACATTAGTCATCAAAAATTTTGTTTAATTTATTCAATCAATTAGGACATTAATTACGTCTTATTTATTTTTCAATTCTAAATCTTTTTTTTTCTCATAAAAAACGCATACGAAATTAAATAAATTTCAATGCGATATTGGAAAATTAATGTTTAGTTGAATTAAATATCTTTTTCTAACTTTATATAAATAAATATTTGAGTTTAATAAGTTCAAATTACTTTATGACTTCTTTCATAATATATTACAGGTTCACAACTGATCACTTATATAGTTATATTGGGCAATTTAAATTCATGTGTTAATCCATGGATTTATATAATATTCAATACGATTCAAGTTAAAAAGGCATTCACATTTACAAATAGTAATTTATTAATTACATAATTATATAATCGCAATTTTCAACCGTCTGTTTGAGTTTAATTATTTAATTGAACAATTCATATTATCATTTCCAAGAGTTTCGTGAGAAAAGCAAATAAAACAAAATAAGTTTAAAAAATTTTCGCAGCGATATAAATATGCAAACAATTATTTTTTACAATGAAAATTAAGGAAAAATAATTTTTTTATAGTAATTGAAAAAAAAACATTTGAGACATTAAATTAATTTTTTTACTTCGTTTAAATGAATTTTAGCATACATTTACTTTTGCTATTTAGCAATGCAAATTTGCTAATTAATAAAGATTGTTATTAATTAATGGAGATGATTTTTACTTCCCTTTGGTTTATGTTTGCAATTTTTAACTTTTAATATTTTACATTCCAAATTTTCGGCAGTTAATCGAAATACTTATTAATAAATCAAAGGAAAAGAGAATAAACATAAAATTTTCTTTTCAAAAATTAAATAATTGAAAAATGAGGAAAAAATTTCCTAAAAAATAATTTAAAGTTAATCAATGATCGATTACATTTACAAATAAAACTTTCTTTTCTTTTTCATAATTTCAGTATTTTCTGAAAATTTCGTTGCAGATGTTAATGAGATGAAATGATGAAAATGAACAATATCCAATGAAGGAATATTCAAATTTCTACAAAAATGTCACCAGAATTTTTTGGCTTCTTCATGAAGCTTCATAATATTCCAGGTATCATTATCATGGTTAGTGGGATTTTACAAACATTTCTAATTTTAGCCTTATTCAATTTAATGTGATTAAATAATGGATTTGAACAAAATCATGATCCCAACCCATATTTAGTGCAAATATATGAGATATTATATTATTTTGCTTATAAATGGTGACAGTTAATTGTATGATATGAATATAATACCTGAATAAATATAATATACTAAAATTTTCATCTAATATGATGTCAATTATTTTGATACTTCTTGATTTCAATATATTTCGATTCAATAATTTAATTTTTTAATTCAGTTTTCGATCTCATACAGTGTTGTTATTAATTATGTTATTTGATCAAAAAAAATTTTTTTTTTCATAGTTCACATGGAAAATGCATTACTTACTTACTTACATGATTTATTCATTACTAGATATCTTAATTATTCTTCACACCCATCTATTAATAATAGATTTAAGGAATTGTCATACTTATAATGCATATTTTGAAATTTTCTTTTTCACCAAAAATTTTAATTTTTTAAATTTTAATCTTTTACTAATTTTTTCTTCAATATGATGAATTAATTACAGATTATATCACCAAATGAAAAGGATTTTCTCAAAACCACATATCATTTATCATTTATGGCTTCCATTGCAGAGGATTTACCAATATTGTTAACATATAAAAAATGAAATTTAAAATGAAATTTCGGCTGTGATTTTTTATAAAAAAAGAAAATTACCCATCTGAGAAAAGTTATTCCAAAAGTACTACTGTAAAAAACTTCCATTTATTTCTTACTTTTGAAAAAAGTTATTTCCAAAAGTACTACTGTAAAAAACTTCCATTTGTTTCTCATTTTTGAAAAAAGTTATTTCCAAAAGTACTACTGTAAAAAACTTCCATTTATTTCTCATTTTTAAAATGAAATGATTTTTCTTTTTGAAGAAAAAAATGAGGGTAATTTCTCCTATTCCGAATTTGTAAATCTTATGGGAAATTTTAACACCGCAGATGAATAAATAGATCGATTGGTTGGGTTTGGATTTGTCCCATCAAACTGATTTATTTTATTAGCTAAAAATATCTCGAATATGAATCATAAATTGCATCATGTTTATCATCTTAACCTGAATATCATTATCACAAGCAATATGTTGATAATCATTATAAAGTTACAGTATCCGAATGAATATGATAGTGACAACAAGAAGTAGCACATATCTTTTATTCCTGGCTGTTTATGAATTGAATTTGAAATTTAATTTTGTATTGCTATATGGAATAATTATAAGGCGAAGTATTCATGTGATTATTAAATAAGAAAAAAAAGAAACTTTCCAATCAAACCCTTTCAAAATCTCTAATTTCTCTTTGAAACTCTTCATTCCCATGAATAAACTGGATGATATAAACATTTATCTGTACAGATAAACAGCCATTTCACTTCCTCAAAACAAAATCCAAACTTGCATAAATAATATCGCTTATTGATGAAACTTAACCACATCTCTAAACGTTCATTTTGCTGCAGTATGAGATTTCTATGATTTCATGAAAGGGTAAGGAATGGTTATAAACGATTTCAATGCATTGATTAATTTCATATTTGATCAAGAAATATGCCTAATTTGAGAGGATGTAGAGATGAATAAAATATAGAGATAAATATAATAAACATAAATAAATATATAATATATAATATTGTATTATATAAACGTAAATAAATTTCTGAGCAAGCAAATTTTTATGTCACAAAATCGTTGTCCAACATTGAGATCTTGAAAGCAACCAACATTTTATTAGATTAGAATTGTGTTGCTTCTAGTTAAATCATAATATATCGCGCTTATATTTTGAGCAGAAAATCCTAGTCATCTCATTTAAATAGTCTTTCCTTTCTCTGATGACTAAGGTTTGCGTACCATCTGTTGCTTTATTCCTTCTTTCCTGGAGACAAGTGGAAAAACGATGCGTCTACCTTCACCTGCCGCTTAGCTTTGAACTTGGATTTAACATGACTTGCCAATTATTGCTATTTGTTGTTGCTAATTTGTTAATGTGCATTATTTGTATAATAATCCTATTTAAAACGACACATGCGTCAATAATTCTAAGCCGTCAGTTCTATTCAGAATAAAAAGCTCGTAAAAAAAATCAAATCATTCATGTTCAACTACATCAAGGTAAAACAAACTTTACAAGCAGCACATAATTAGAAAAACAAATCTGATTCACTGATAATAACCACTCTGTGCAATCCCTCATGCACAAAAAACAAAATGAATAATAACCCGCTTTCTAATCACAGTGACACAATGTCATGAACGAGTCTTGCAATTTGTAATAAATTCCTATTATTTCCCCCTTGCAATCAAAAAATTAACAGTATTTTAGAAACAAAGAGTGGAAAGTCGTCCTGAGTGCTATGAAAAATGACATGAAACAACAATTCCCTAATTCGCTATCTTATAAAGAAAATATCAGCCAACACCATTAATTTCTTTCCGAGATATCAAATTTCCAAACCCCACAGTCTACTTCTGTGATTTTAATTTAATTGTGGAATAGAGGACACAGGACAGAATCTCCAAATTATCACGGCTACTGCCTAGCATCTTTTGTTTTCATCAGCAAACATATTAAATTTTGGAAAAGATACTGAATGAAAAATGAATAGTAGACAACATCTCCGGTTAATACGCAACCACTGGAAATTACGCAAGATAATTGTACACATTCGAGTCATCCTTATCACGGCACATATACTCACGTTCAATTAGACTTTCAATACGCTTCTTCAAATCAACCGGTTTTACAGGAAAACGAAGCTGATTAAATAGCTCTGAAATAAGCAACTGATGTGCAAGAGATTTTCGCGTTTTCATGATACGAACAATTGCAGCGTCAATTTGATATTGTCGATCTTGAAATATTTCCTCTTCTGTTTGAGCACGTTCCACAGCCTGAAACATGCAATAAAATTATTAAAAACGTTTAAGAAATCAAAAATTGGCGGTAAAAGTCATGAATAACTATTTGTAAAACAACCGCAATCCAACATGCAATTTACTTGGAAATGCAAGCACAGAGTACAGAGATGAAAAGACTAGAAAACCAGGAGAAGTCATAAAACTGTAAATGTAAAAATCATAATAATGCAGGAAAGTCCTTGTAGGAAAAACCCGGCAAGAATTAAGTCACTTGATAACCGTCAAAACC